GAATCATTCCCTATGGTCTGTTATTTAACTGGAAAAATTACTGTAACTCTGTGAGCTGGTCATTATTATTCATGTGAAATACAAACAGAGTAAGACATTTAGGCAAGTTTACTGTCTTAGATTGGATGCCCTAGAAGCAAAGCCTGAGTTGGGGATTCCCGTATTCTGGGGCAAGTCATTCACTAAGAGTGGGATTACAGAAGTCATGAATAAGGCCACGTGGAACATGGTATAAAATGGAAGAAATTAAGCAGAAGTGTAATTTCAGGAGAAGTCTAGCCTCAACCCGATCCAAGGAGGAGTTCTGGAGCATGAGCTGTACCATTGAGGCTGTCCTGCCCGGAGACCAGGGGGCCGGGCTGCTACCCGACAGCTTGACTTCTTGCCGCACATCGGTCCGTCCTTAGTCACAGGCAACCCCTAGGGAAGCAGGAAAGCGGGGCGGACATAACTTCCCAGGTACCTCCAGGTAAGGTGGCTCCTGACAGCTAAGAGAAATGCTCCAGGAAACAGTACAGAGTGAGCAATCAGCAGCCAGCTCCTCTGGTGACGGGGATGGGAGCACTTCCCTGGTACACAGAACCTGGATGGGGCACCAGCAGCCAGGGCTCCAGTCCCGAAACTGGGAAGTGGATGAGGAAACCAAGGCCATGGGTGCCTCTGACTGTTTCAAAACCAGTCTGGGTCTATTTCTCGAAGTCCTGAATGCTCTTAACCACCAAGCCCCATACCCACAGAGTTTAGTTTTACTTTATCTCATTGAATTCTCCCCAAAAAAGAGTTAAGTCAGTGACAGCCCATTTATACCAAGAAGGGAACAGGTTGTGAGAATTGGAACCTAAGACCACATGGTCAATAATTGGTAGAGTTGGGATTTGTACCTGTCTTCTGGTTCTGTTTTTTTTTTTTCCTCTCTGGTTACCTAACTGGGAAAGCTGGGGAAAATGGAGTGAAGATCTTGGTATCAGGGTGACCTGAAGGACCGAGGCCATGTCTTACATGAAAATACTGCAGTCAAGCATCTCAGTCAGAAGAGTCTGTAGCTTTGGTCCTCACCCCTTGTCTGCCATTTGGAGAGCTCCTTTGTTCTGCTCTGATCTTTAGCTTAAGCTCAGACTTCCTAAATGAACGTCTGCCAGGAAGGAATGGGCTTTATCATGTGCCCTTTGTATCAAATCCCAGCCCCTCTTTGCTTGAAGACGATCTGATACACCTCTCTGTGCATCCTGGCATTCTACAAGCCCATCACTTTCCCAGGAGCTGCCTGACACACACCTGCGCTTTGTTTCATCCTCCCCTGCTCCACAATTGCATAGACTGAAAAATAGCGGAGCGTGGACATTGGACACTAAATTCTGGTTGTAGCAGTCAACGGCTCTGGCATCGTGGGCAAGCCCTTTAGTCTCTGACTTTGAGTTTCCTCTTCTGTAAAATTAGTGCTATGCCATTTCCTATGTCCCAGAATTGTCACGTAGATTAGAAGCGATATATTTAAAATCCCAAGCACGTCGCGGGTATGCGATAAGTGGTAGTTATTTTTATATGACAGATACATCTGCACAGGAGACAGAGACACAGCGGTGCCTGCTAAGTAAGCTTCCACCACTTGGAAAAGTGGATGTCACGGCCACAGTGTCTGACCCAGAGTGAGTTTTCAGTGTGTTTAACCCATCTCCATGCCCTGTAGACAAGTCTCTTGCCTGCTTCTTCCTGCCGCCCTCTGCCTCCCCATCACCCAGGGATGATGGATGTCTTGATTCCTCAAGCTGCCCTGGTCCAGAGTGCCCTGCTCTGGTTACATCCACTGCCTCCTGTGCCCCAGCTCCCTGGCAATTCCTCCAAGAAGCCCTCCTGTGGAGAGAACAGGGTCGTGTGGCTCACAGGTTAAGTGATTCGGGTCACAGCTCTTCCCCAAGACCTTTGGGAAGATGCCTCATCTCTTGTGCCTCCTGAGCAATGGTATGGCAGAAGGTGCCTGTCATCTCTCACCTTGATTGTCGACAATGCATGATGACCCCTCCCCCTTTCTTCTAAAACAGTGAGGGGAGGTGCAGTTCTCATGCCCCAGTTTCCTCTTCTCTGTAAGGGGGCCAGATGATTTCTCTCAGGGATGTTCTTGTATTAAATGAGAAAGTACCAAACACACAGCACTGGCCAGCTGCACACAGGTGGAGCTAAAGGCCATTTCCTCTGCTTTTCAAGCCCTTCCTTTTTTTTTTTTTTAAATTTAAACACAGAACAGCCTCCCTATTCCTTCCATATTCTATTGTTGTTGTTTTAAATTTAAACACAGACTAGCTAATGGCTATTTGTTCCTGCAGTAACATTCTCTTTCACACTCTTGAGGGCTTAATACCATGCTAAGCACATAGTAGGGGCTCAAAAGAAAAATACAATTTTAGTGAATACTGGAACTCTTGGCAGCGACCTCTGATCCCAACCCTGTAAGCAGCAGGCACCCCGAGGGTTGGTCCCTTCTGCCCTCATCTCTCTCCCGCTGAGCACAGTCTCCCGGGGGAGAGAGAGCAAGGCACTGGTGCTCAGAGACACATCACCATTTTTGCTAAAGTAGCAAATTTTCAAGCTGTGAGCTGATAACCAAGTAGCATTAACAGGATTTCAGCACTATCTGATCCCCGGAGGAAGGGAGGGGGCTGTCCTGACTCATAAGCATCCAGTGAGGTGAAGACTCCACATGCATAGCTGAGGCTCTGCTCAGCTGCTCCCAGCTTCCTCTCTGGAAGGTCATCACCCAAAGGCCCCCAGGCAGCCCCTGAGCCTGGGCCAGTCAGGGCGGCAACCTCACTACTTCCCATCAACATCATTCTCTCATTGTAAATAGACTTAGTGTCAGGCATGTTTGGAGAGGGATCAGGTGCCCATCTGGCTCCGGAGCCATTGTCTCTGGGCGTCCGTGAAGGCGGGCCCTGGTCTACTGCAGGATCTCCCGGCACCTGACAGTGCCTGGGGGAGACCTCAGTGCTCTGTCTGGAGCAATAGCTTCACACTGCTTGTACCTTCCAAATGGCTGGCTCAGGTGGTACCCTAAGTAGATGAACAGAAATAGCCACTAGGACCCCTCTGCCCCATTGCCCATGGTGGACCTCCATGAACACATTTTCAGTCAAGACCCACACCCCCAAAACCAACAATGACTGAATGTATACCTACTGATATTTAAAGTGGATCGTTCCCTGTTATCAGCTGGGTCAGCCGCAGCAGCTCGATCATGTCTCCAGTGCTTGGTCCTCCCCTTTTCCACCCCTACCCACCACCTCTTGCCCCGACAAGGTGGGCTTCAAGCCCTCCATCCTGTTAGGTACAGGCATTCATAAGTGCTTTGCAAAGAGCATCTTCTTAGGAATCAGAAAATTCATATCAGGGTCTCCACTCAGTCTCCAAATTCCTGGGCATCTGTAATAACTCGATTTCCCCTTTTGGGGCCTCCCATTTTTTTATTCTTAAGTGGGGGTGATAAAAACAAGAGCCAATGATGTGTAACGGGGGGATGTGCTTTGCAGGCTGCGAAATACCCTGCTGGACGCCTGCTTTATTTCTGCCACACCCTCGGGGAAGTTGGGTGTTTATTGACAACCTCAAAGAGGGTTGAAGAAGGCATTCTCTCTGCTGTCTGGGCAAGGCCAGGCACGGGCCAGGCTAAGGTCAAGCCTGCTGCAGCTGCTGGAATCCAACCAAGGGGACTCACCTCCCACAGAGCACTTCTGAGAAACCCTCAGCCTCACCCTTGCTCCTTTTGAGTTTAGAAAGAGTCAGGTAGAAAAAACAGAAAATACAAAAGACCTGTGCTTTGGCTCTAAGTGAGCTCTGAGCCCTGGCTCACAGTGGATGCGAACTTGGGCAAATTCCTTACCCTCTTTGTGCCTATTTCTTCCTCTTTGAACTTGCCAAGATAACCCCTACTTCCTGGAGTGGCTTGGGGAAATTTCAATGAGTCCTCATATATGAGGCCCATTTCACTCCTCTGCCTTAAGTGTAAACTATGTCAGGAAAAGGGTTTATTTTGCTTGCCTATATTTTTGGTTTTACTGTCATGAATATATTTTGCATTCACAATAAGAAGAACTCCCAGTTTATTTAATTCTGTAAAAGGCTGGCAGAATGGAGAATGCATGAAAAAACTGAGGCTCCGAGGGGCTTCTGTGACCACTTCCAACAACCTAGTTGCTCGAGGCAGAAGTGAAACTGAAACCAGGCCTCTCCCCTCGCCTCTTGGAGCAGGTGCGAGGCATTGCGTGTCCTCTACACCCTGCTTTGCATTTTTCTCTTTTCCATTTTAACCCTTGGGAGTTTAAACGTCTTTTCACCTTCAGGACTCCAAATTCGGAGTTGATTTTTAAACATATCCAAGCTTATGTCTCAAAGTGTATGGAATATATGGCTATACATGCATATTAATCTTTCAGGGGTTAGATTAATAGACTCTCAACTCAAGCAAATGGTTACCCCTTTAGTCAGCTTTTCAAAGAATCTACAAGATGGGGACATACATAGAGTTTGCAATTCCTCTTTTCTATTCTCTGTGGCTTTCCAGAGACCCACTGCCAGCTGGCAGCCCGGAGACCATTCTGAAGGCTGGTAACCACTGTTGGGAGTTTCACCGATGGCTGCAATCAGATGTAAGTGTAAGCCTTCTTTAAGGCAAGACTTTTGTTAGTTATTAACACTTTCCCAGCCTTAATTGCTTTGTCCACTTTGAGTTTACACGGTATTAAAATCCACACTCAGGTACCTGCTGAAGTTGGGAATGGGTGAAACTGGCATCTCCCAAGAATAAGAGGGGACCTCAGGGAAGATTAATCTCACAATGCAAGTAAAAAACAAATCTGATGACCACAGCGAGGGATTAAAAATTTAAAAGGCAATGAAGAAAGGAGAGGAGAAAATTACACAATAGCTGTGAAAAACATTTTTTTTTTTTGAGTAACAAAGGAATATAGATTGTTCTATAGATTGCTCCCTAAGTGAACACAGACAAGCTATTTTGAGTTGGGGGCAAGTTAATTACCATCAAAAAAAAGGGAGCATCTCCAGATTTTTTTTTTAGCAGTGAAATATTTTAGTTCCTTCATATAGAGACATATTACACAATGTTAACATCCATGAAAAACAATACAAAATGCCCTCGATTTAACAAGTAGAAAAATATAACTAGTATATATGGCAGTTGTGAATCTAATACTGTACAGAAGTAATTTATGGATTTTACAAATAAATTATAGCTTAAACGCCCTTTTAAAATTCTTTGTTTCCCCCCTCCCCAGATGTACATCAGAACTTACAACAGGAAATGTTCCGAGCCTAGCTTATTGCAAATCAGTGCCAGTCAAATGTTCTGCCGACAAGCTCGAAGAATTTCTTATTTGGCTCGTGGAAATACTCGTGCAGTTTATTGAGGAGTTTGGGGTCGACCTGGGGGTGCGCCCGGCCTTTGGACTCGTGTAAGCAGCGGTCCCGGCCGCCGTCCCGCAGGCAGTAAAAGCCCTTGGTTTTGTTAAAGTAGAAGTTCGAGGCGTTGATCTGCGGCGACAGCTTCAGGAACCGCTCGACCTTCTGGATCTCGGGGAAAGGGTCCCTGATGAGGCGGTCGCCGTCGACGATGTGGATGCGGCGCAGCGGGAAGAAGCGCAGCCAGTTGTGCATGTGCACGTGGTACAGGCTGCGGTTGAGCGCCTTGTAGTCCACGTTGAGCCGGCCGTCGCGCACCAGGAACTCCTCGATGGACGGGTAGGGCTTGTGCTTCTGCACGTGGTTGTAGAACACTTGGGTGTAGTCGGACAGCACGCGCTCCGACGGGTCCCGCAGGATGAGCAGCAGCCGGATGGACGGGTTCATGCTGTGCACCCGCTCAGGCACTTGGGGCGACGTGAAGTACGCGGGGGTCTTCTCCACCGTGAGCTGGTGCGGGGAGGAGAAGGGCATCTGGCGGAGGTACCAGCCCAGGCCTTGGCTGTAATGCTCCTCCCAGTCGAAGAAGTGCACCTCGTTCTCCGCGGCCGCCACGTCGGGGTGCAGGCTGAGCATCTCCAGCAGCGCGCGGGTGCCGCCCTTGCGCACGCCGATGATGATGGTCTGCGGGAGCTGCTGGGCGGAGCCGTTGGGGGCCGCGCCCTCCGGGACCTCGCCCTGGAGGGTGGCTGCTTTCCCCACGAGCTCCTGCTGGCCCGGCTCCGCCCCGGACACGGCGGGGCGGGAAGGCACTGGCTGGAGCTGGACCGCCAGCATCACCGCGCCCAGGAGCAGCGCGGCCATGCTGGACACCACGGTGGCTTCACTGGGCCGGGCGCCGCTGGATCATGAAGCGCTGCCGCGGGGGGGTGCTTCCAGATCAGTGACACATGGGTGTCGCAGGCCTCCGATTACTAGGAAACAAAGGGGAAATTATTAACCCCGAATAAACGCTCGGCTTAGTCAAGCTGCCCACTCTGCTGTCTTGGGCATGGTTGTTCACCACCTTGGGGTGTTCTGTGTCTCTGTCCTGTGAAGCAGGAGTGGCAGTTTCTGTAGAAGGCAAGATAATAAATGTTTTAGGCTTCTGGGGACATGCAGTATCTATGGCAACTCCAACTATGCTGTTTGGCTCTAAAGCACCCAGAGAAAATGCACAGACGAATGGCTGTGGTTGTGTCCCAGTAAAACTTTATCGATGGACACTGACATTTGGACGTCATATAATTTCCACGGGTCATTAACTATTACTCTTCTTTCGATTCTTTTTCAAACATTTACATGTGCAGTGCTCTGTGGGCACAAAAGCAAGGCCAGGTTTGGCCTGCAGTCACAGTTTGCCAACCCGGGCGATAAAGGAAACAGTTGAGCAGGTCTTTTGGACCTCAGCCAACATCCGTGAAATAACTACTAGCTGCCAGCCCCCGGCAGAGGGGCCAGTGATGAGGGTACCAGAAAGAACAAAAACACCTCCATGCATGTGAAGTTTTACTGTTTATAAAGTGGTCTTGCAGTCGGCTTGGTGGATCGTCAGCATAACAAGGATGGGTAAGCGAGGAAGGCAGGACAGTTTTGGACGAGAGTCTTCCCCAAGGACACAAAAATTTAGTCCATTTCAAAATTCAAGGCCCACATTTAATACTCTACATGCAGGGCTCTTCCCATGAACTGCCTCCTTCGTTCCTTCTCCTCTTTACCCGTCTGAGATTCATCACATTTAGGCATGAAAGTCCCCCGTGGATGCAGGCCCTTCTGGGCTAGTTGGCATGGAGTCCCCAAAGGCAAACGAGCCATGGTTGATGTTTTTAGGGGGCTGATAAGCAGCACTCTGTGTTTGACCCTCTCCCGGAAAGAGGAGATTGGAAAGTCTCTTTTAAGTAATCTCTGTCTAAACACCGTTCAGGAAGAGCTGGAGACGGGCCCAGTTTGGGGACTGTGGGATTTGCAGAGCCAGACAAATGTTCTCTATCAAGAGGGCCCATCATCTTCTTTATGCCAAGTTTAAAATACCCTTTTTAGTTTAAAACGTGTCTAAAATATACAAACGAAGAACAACACTCAGGGCTTCCGTGTTTATGATCAGACCACTTGCTCCACCTCCCTCAGATCTAACTGTATGAGCTGGTTGGAAAGATGTACATAAACGACCAAGCAATGGAAAAGCTGGAAACCTTCAGAACATCACCGAACACTGGAAATGGAACTTGCAAAATCACCTGACATGTTATTCAGGGAAAAAACGAAAAAAAAAAGTTTAAAGAGGGCTGGCCAAACAAGATAGGTTCAAGGCTGGTCATACTGACTGGATGAGCTCAATTTAAGGGACCATTTGCTTTAGTCAACTGAACGTTTTAGTGCGTCTCAGTGAAATTCCATTTCCTTTTCAACAGCCCATGTGGGTCGACCCGATAGACCAACTGTGCTTGCCTTTACATGTCTGGGGTATGCGTGGGTGCATGTGCACTCGGGGGCTTGTGTCTGTGCATCGAATGCACACGTATGCCGGTGTGCGTGTGCAGGTGTGGCCTGCGCAGGGGGCGGGGTGGAGGGAGCGAGGGTAGCTTCTCCACGCTGGACAGCTGTACTCTTAGTGGTGGGCAGTGTTATCCCCACATCACAGCTCTGCGTCCAGACTCAGGAAGCAACCCAATCATGCAATGCCTGAGGGACAGAGTTGGAGCCCAGATCTGAACTTGATATTGTCTGACCATTCCTGCTCTCTCTACTCTTTTATGAGGCATCGTGGTGAGTCCAGTGCACATCTGAGCTCTTCTTCCTAAAGGAGAATTACCAGCAGACAGTGGGGAGAAGAAACTAAATACAGTTTGTTCTTTACAAAAGCAAAACAAAAAACAAACAAAAAAGCCTGTGTAGTTAGTACCTTAAAAGCTCCTCATTTACGTATAGTTTCTGAAAGTGTATATTTACTTGTTCTAATACTTCTACATTACACTTAAAAAATATTTGAGGTATATGGAAAAAAATTTAGTTGAAGCTGTATATGTATATGTGTCTTATGTATGAAAAATTTAGCTAAGTTTGATGTATATATATACATATATATTATGTATATACACACACATATATTTGTACATCTAAATATATATATAAAATGTATCACACACACATAGTGGCCACTGAGAACCAAGTGCCTCCTGCTGTAGGGTGACAGTGTGTGTCTCAGTGGCACAGTCAGAATTTCTGTGCCTTTAAGTAACACTCTCAGAAAAGGAAAGATGTCCAAGCTCAGGTGAATCTGTAAGCCAGGACATCTGGGCCACGCTGATCTTGACAATGGAGTGGTGAGCATCAGAGCAGAAGGGTGCTATTAAGTCCCTGCTTTTCATCTATGGGTAAGGAGGCCCTGAGGCGACGGGCCCAAGGTCACATGGAAAATTGGCGCCTAGAGGGTGTGACTCCTGCATCCCAGTTTGGTACTCTCTCTGCGAGTACTGCCATCTCCTTGGCACGTGATCTTAGCATAAAATCATGGTAACGTTTTAGGGGTCCTGAAGAAGAATTCCCCCCAAAATCCCAGCAGTGGCAAGCCCCAGCCACCAACTCCAGAATCAGTGGATACACAAGGCAAACACATACAGAACGGAGTCAAAATCCTTCATTTGTTCTGCTCAGGAGGAGGGTCTAAAGGAATTACACAGGGATCCTGACTCTAGTTTTGACTTTCATCGAAGTGACTTAACCTCTCTTAGCCTCAGTTTCTCATCTGTGACGTGGTAGTGATTCCACCTGCCTCAACTGGTTACTTTAGGACTTAAATGAGATGAGTTACCAGTGCTGTCCAACAGAAAAGCAACGGGAATCACATATGCGCTTTTTTCGTTTATTACACAAATATTTATTGAATGCATGCTACATCCCTAGCATTTTGGCTAAGCGAGGAGATGAATTCCCCAGTACCTGCTCCCCTCCATCATGCCAACCACAGCACCTTCCCCATCAGAGTCACTGCAGCAGATGAGTTGTGTAAATAAAAGTATAGCACACAGCTTTACCACATTCTCAGAAAAACTCAGATCTCCACAGGCGACCGAGAGATGCTCAGGAAGGTATCAGCAGCCCGTCTCAAAGGTGATAGTAACTGCTATTTATGTCCCTGACACTTAGTCATAGCTCATCCTATGACAGGTCATATCTTATTATTGCTTTTATTAGAGATGTTAAAATGACCCACCTATGTACTGGTACATTTTCCAGGAGCCCCATTAGAAAGAAATATTTGACTTACGTAACCCAGTGTATCCAAAATGTCATCACTCCAACACACCATCACTATATATAATCAAGGGGATATTTTTCATTTCTTTGTGTTTTACGTCTTCAAACTCCAGGGTGTATATATTTACTTTTACAGCACATCTCAAGGCCACAGGTGGCTGTTGGCAACTGAGGTGAACAGAGCACAGAGCACAGAGATGGACAACACTGGGAAGAGCTGCATTTCTTACTTGAAAGCTCTTTGACTGTGGAAAGTACTCTCTTAATAGTGAGACCTCTTACCCTGCTCACAAAATAGGAGCTTCCCAAACAAGAAAAAGACCAGGAAGACAAGTTTGAACTTGTAAGCAGCATAAAGATAAATTGATTTGTCTCCTTCCAGAAGTAAACTAGGCAATGCTAAGGGAATCTTCTGGAAGTCTGGAGCCCTGAGCCAACACGGGAACAGACACAGATGGTTCAGGAGCACCTGGAGCCCGGGGCCACATTCCTCCCAAAAACAATGAAGATGGCTACCACCTGCCACACCTGCTACTGAGCAGACGCTGGGCTGGCAGCTCTGCACACCGGACCCCTGTGATGCTGACCGCAGGTCCTCAAGAGAACTGATATCATTACAGCGAAGTGAGGCTCACAGACATTAAGTGGTTTGTCCACAAAGTTACAGATGAACTAGGATTCAAACTCAGTCTGAACAGGCAAAGTCAGGGAGCTCGCTGCTCCTTTCCCCGGGGGGAAGTACCCAGTTAGTCTACATGCAGGTGCTGGCTCCTTGGTGCGAGTCTCTGGTCCTGGTGAACCTTCACGCTGGGCACTGATTCTTTGATGAGGAACAAGATTCCTCAGAAGGGAACAGACTGGCTGGAGCATAAAATGAACCTTGTCCCTCCCTTTGGAGATGGATTAAAAGGTCCCACAGAGAGATCCAGCCCCTCTCTGTTCAGTCCCTTTTATCAGGGAGACCATTTTCTTCATCCTGCCATGATAAGCCAAGCCCTGAGTGTCAAGAATTTGAGAGTCTTTCCCATCAGCAGCAGCAGGCTTCCTTGGGCCCCTCTGCGAAGGTGCTGACCACGTGCCAGGCATGGGGAGTACACAGGAGAGGGCACAGGCTTTTCCAGGTGGAGGTCCCTTGCACTCGGGATTAAATCCAAACTCCTTTCCAGGCCTTCGGAGGAACCTAGGATGGGACCCGCCCGCCCTGCCCGCCTCAGCTGCTCCTTTAAGCCAAGCCCTGACCTTTCTGTTCTTTTGAACACACCAAGCTCATGCCAGCTCTGGGGCCTGGCATTTGCAACTCTCTCTTTCCAGGATGCTGGCCCCAGGCTTTCTGAGGCTGGCTCTCTCTTGTCAGATTTTATTTCAAATGCTGGCTTTCCCCGCCGCCACATCAGCCCACCCGCTCTCCTTTCATCACGTTCTTCCCCATCATCCTGTTTTATACTCCTCATATACACTCCAAAATTATATTTGCTTGTTGACTGTCTGCCTCTGCACCAGACAGTATCAGTTCAGAGCTCCTCTGTTGGTGTCCTGTATCTCTCTGTGGCATCCTCTGGGGCTGGCACGATCACCAGGACACAGCAGGTGCTAGAGAGCCTATTTGCTGAATGAACACGTCAAATGTGGTGGAAAGTTAGGCAAACGGCTGAAGGCACTGAGAAAGGCCTTCTATTCA